GTTGGCTATTTTAAATGCTTGTCTTGTACTTTTGTGTTCCCTTTCCCTCTTTGAGTTGTTCGCCGCCCTGAGTCCCGCCGGGAATAGGGCGGCATATAAATAAAACAAATCTCAATCTCAATCAGCAATACTGCAAGATCCTCAGTTTCTTTTTCAAATCAAAATATTAGTTTTCGTTCCTTGGGTTTGCAAAGTGTGTACGCATCTTTGTGGCAAGCCACCAAAATACGATGGCAGATATTTTTATATATGTATATTCTTCTGTTTTCAGGAACTCGAGAGGGCTTGGAGAGAATACGACAAACTAGAATATGATGTGACAATCACAAAGAACCACATGCAGGAGCAGCTGGAACGGACAGGCGAGGTTCAGGTGTGATTAGAATGTCAACTTTGTTCCATAGCATTTTCTGGGTATGGGTGTTTATGATCCGTAGCTCCCTAGATAGCTCGGGAGCAGGTTATATTTGAAGCACCATCTTTTTCCCAGTCAAATATCCTCAGAGCAGGGAGGGAAGGGATGTTACAGGTCCCTTCTCCTATGGAGGTCCATCTGGCGGGGCCTTCTCTGTGGTAGCATCACTCCTGTGGAAATAAGATTGGTCCCCACTTCTTTCAAAAGGACCTGCCGCTTTTGCCAGAAGGTCTGGAGACTCCAGGATGATATGGAGCCCATCAAGTGATTGTTATGAAGTTGGCAGGAGTTGGGGGGGGGGCGGTTATTGGGTTTTCCATTGGGGATTTATTTCTGTAAGCCACCCAGAGTCACCATGAGAAAATATTAATTATGTAAATCGCAAATACTGTTTTGGAATTAGCGGGTATGTGCTAGGTGGTGTGTGTGTGTGTGTGTGTGTTTTGGCAACGTAACGGATTATGTTGCAGAAAAGGATAATAGAATGACTAAACAGACAGGGTGTTGTTTTGAAAAAAAAATGGTAGAAGGATTAATTAGAAAAGCTCAACCTGAGTGAATGGAATTAAAAATAAAAGAGTTTGAATGATATAGGATGAAAATGACACGAGGGAATTCTGAACGGGAAGTTCTAGAGATTTGTGTCATAATGATAATACGTTGAAGAGTAGAATTGAAATTAATACTATAGATAATAGTATTCAAGTAATAATGAAAAGAAAGTCATAAACGGCATGAGAACGTTGAAAAAATGACACGGCTGAAATAATAATGAAATTGAAGAGATGTGAAAATACATGCATGGTTTCCTTCTAGAGCAGTTGTGTGCCTTGTTTCAACATGTTATAAAGATTATGATTGGAAGGAAGCTGTCATTGTCACTCTGGACAAAGGAAAAAAGAATAAGAGTGAATGAAAAACTTGTAGAGGAATTAGTTTATTAAGCATTTGGCCAGAATACTTGATGGAAAGGATACAGGTGGTGACAAAGAATAACGTTTAGTAATTTATTGCTTTAGGGAGTGCTTTTATTGAGAAATATCTCAGTTTGAGAAAGAATGCTTATTGTACATTCGTTGGCTTAGAAAATGTCTGTGATAAATAGGCTTGAATTATGGAATGTTTTGCCCAAAAATGAGGTTAAAGATTGGTTGCTGGGTTTATCAGCAGCATGTAGTGTAAGTAAAACAGGCATGAGGATAATTAGATTTTTTTAAAAATATTTCAAGACAGAGCAGGGATTCCCCTTTAGCTTAATGGCTAAATGAACCCTAACGCTAAATGAATAAAGTTTGTGATGACGGTAAAGCATATTGGTTGAGAATTTTAAACAGGCTATAACTTCTTATTGGCTGAAAACATAATGATTTGCAGCATGAGTCGAGCAATAGGGTGCAGTGAGGACTATTGATTTATAAATTTATTCTTTTTCAGAGACAATAATAATTGGCTTCAGAGAGAAAATGGTAGAAAGATCACAAGTTATATATAAATGGTGAAAAACTAGAGCAAGTTGATGAATTCGTTTTATCTTGGTCAATATTTACTAAGAGCAGGTTCTCCATTTTTGCACAGTGTATATTCATTTTTCAGTCAGTAGGGGGCACCGCATGTTTTGTCCTGATTGGAATTCTTCAGGTGTAGGTAGCCAGATGTTCTCCTTTGGGATTCAAACAACTACGTAGAAAATTAACTCACACACTTTAGATGTCTGTATACAGTGCATTAGGTTTAGGAGTATCCAGGAGCTTATTAGCAGCTTAGCAGTTGCTATCAGGCTGGTCTGCTTAAACTCTCACAGAAGAGAGATAACAGGTGTTACGTATTATATCATGGCCCCATTTATGAGATTTTACATGACTTACCAAACTATGGGTTAATCAGTAAATGTGGATAAAGTGTTTGAACCCCTTAGGACAGGGGTGTCAAGACCGCGGGCTGGATTTGTCATGCACTGGCCACGTCTACCCCCATTTTAGCAAAAGGGGGGGCTTGCAATATGTCACATGGCGATGCAAGTTTGACACCCCTTCTTCTTCTTCTGCCATATCCGTCATCGGACGTTGGTGATCATGTTGGCGATCCTATTTTTATCAACAATCACACAAAAATGTGCTGTTGAGTTTTATCCGAACCACTCCCTTAGATTTTGAAGCCGTGGTGTTGACACCCCTGCCTTATGATAAATATCTAGTTCTGCATGCGCAGAAGCAATTTTTTCATGACTGCACATGCGCACATCAAGCAGCGGGCACGCAAAGCATGCATGCACCTGAAGCGCGGCCCTGAGCGAACCGGCAGTAAAAGAATCCGGAATCCACCCCTTTTCCTGATGCTCAATGAAACCAAGAACACCACATAGAGTATACACTATTAAAAAACAGAAATTCCACCATCACTAAGATGGGTATTGAAGTCCTGTACATCATATTATTACAGATGTGGAAATTTTTAGAAGTAGAAATACTGGTAGAAAAGTAATGAATAATGTCCCTTGTTCACAAGGTTAGCAAGTTACAGAGAAATTTAATGGTGTTGGCATATGATCTATGTAGCGCGCGCGCGCACACACACACACATGGTGATCTGGAAATCTTTAAAAACCATAAGTAGAATGGTTCTTGAGCCCATTGGTTGTATTTTATATTATAGGGAGTGTGTTTTTTTTCCCAGGCTCATGGGATTTTTTTTATTGTTCCCTGAATTTTAATGTGAATATTAAAATTGAATATGAGCCTCAGTGGCGCAGTACTTAGAGTGCAGTACTGCAGGCTACTACTGCTGCCTGCCGGCTGCCTGCAGTTTAGCAGTTCAAATCTCACCAGGCTCAAAGTTGACTCATCCTTCCATCCTTCCGAGGTCGGTCAAATGACGACCCAGATTGTTGGGTATGCTGACTCTATAAACTTCTTAGGGAGGGCTGTAAAGCGGTATATATGTCTAAGTGGTATTGCTAATGTGAGCCATTCCCAAACATTATGGAGTCCAATCACATAAATAAAATTAGATAGATAGATGATAGATAGATGATAGATAGATAGATAGATAGATAGATAGATAGATAGATAGATAGATAGATAGATAGATAGATAGATAGATAGATAGATAGATAGATAGATAATGTGATTGGACTCCAGGATATGTGTGCGTGTGTATATATATATGAATACAATTATAATTTCTTTGGCTTACTGTACTTTACTGCACTTTGAATAATACTGCTTCTCCTGAAATAAATAAATAACCACATGCCCAAGCAATTACCCACTACCAATAAAACATGTTTTTATACGATCCAGCCGGGTAGGGTCTGAGGGCCAGAGAATGCTCATGTCAACTCAGGTTTTAAGGCTGGTCCTATTTCTTTCCCTCCTCCATTCTGGCTCTTTGAATACTTATCCAGAGTCCCACTAGACAACAGAGCTCTGGGCCATTTCACCCGAGCTGCATCACTTAACCAATGCACATCTCACACGTTGCACACAATTCCAACTAGGCAGAACTTGCTATTCCATAATTACGTGCGCCGACTATTTCAGACAGCAGTAACTATCTTGAGAGTTTGGTTATCTTGAGAGAAGCCAGCAAAATAGCCTTTTGATTAGGTCCAGGAGAATATCAGTGGATTCAGAGCACAACATAAAAGGGTGCATGATACTAGTTGAAAATAATTGGATGCCTTAAACGCACGGCGCCTCATCGCTAACTTTTATCTCTGGCAGAGTGAGTCGGCTGGGATACAGCGTGCTCAGATTCAGAAAGAGCTTTGGCGAATTCAGGATGTAATGGAAGGTTTGAGTAAACATAAGCAGCAAAGAAACAGCACCACGGAGGCAGGTAAATTAGCATATTGACTTCCTGCAGATCTATGGGACTAGCGGAGACACCTGTACGATGAATAAATGCTGTACTTATTCTTCTTTGATTAAATGCAATTTTACTTCCAAAGACTAAAAAGGAAATAATGGAAACTCTAAATCACTGCAAATTTATTGCTACTGCAACCATAATTTTTAACCATTATTTATGATAAGCTAAACATTCTGCTTTGTTTTTAAATAGGTATCATAGCATCAAAGACGTTTTCACCAAAATATAAAAATGAGGTATGATTTTCTGCTTTCTTTTTGAGATTCTATAGAAGCTATTTAATTTCCAGACTCCTGCTTCTCCATTTATGTGTATATTTCATAAGTTTCAATAAGATATTTATAAGTGGGGTGCATTTAAAGGTTAAGCATTCACAATAAACGTATTATGAATATAAATTTGAATATTGGTTTTATTTTTTTGGTCCCTCATTGCGCGCACACATTTCAGACGAAAAGAAATACTGCTTTGCTTGTGTGTCTTCTATAATTACGAGCTGAGCACTTGAAACAACAGTTTGATGAAAAGCATGAAGCTGAATGCAATTGCTATCTGGGATAAGTGGAATATTAGGACAGAGTTGCCTTAAAAGGACTCTGCCACTGGTATCAATGTATTAAGAAAAGTGGACAGATTTTTTTTAATATGGGAAAGCTATAAAATCTTCATGATTTGCTGGTGGATTTATTCACCCTTGGTGAATAAAGGTATATTTGAATATTGATATGCATAGGGATGTTGTAAATAAATTTATAGAGGAAACAGAATAATTCTTTATGTAAAGAGCCACAGGTAGTCCTTGCTTTACAACCACAATTGAGCCCAAAATTCATGTTGCTAAGTGAAATATTTATTAATTAAATTTTGCCCCATTTTACGACCTTTCTTGTCACATTTGTTAAGTGAATCATGGTAGTTGATAAGTATGGTCGTTAAGTGAATCTGGCTTCCTCATGGACTTTGCTTGATAGAAGGTCGCAAAAGGTGATCACATAACCCCGGGACACTGCAACCTTCATATATACAAGTCAGTTGCCAAGCATCCAAATTTTGTTCACCCCGTGACCACTGGGATGCTGCAAGGATTGTAAGTGTGAAAAACGGTCATAAGTCACTTTTTTCAGTGCTGTGATAACTTTGAACAGTCACTAACTGAACTGTTGTAAGTCAAGGACTGCCTGTATTTATCCTAAGTGAAGGTCTTTCCTTTGCTTGAGGGTGGTGGCGGAGGGGAACTAAGACCTATTTTTAAATGGTACCCAGGTGTGTACAAATGGAAAGAAAAGAGAGTTGTGTCTACTTTTGTGTACCTAAACTGACGTAATTGGGATTTCTTTCCCCCTTTATGCTTCGTTGTGACAGCAGCTTCCCTCCAACCCAGAGGTGTCAAACTTGATTTCATTGAGGGCCGCATCAGGGTTGTGTTTGACCTCGGGGGGCTGGGATGGGCATGGCCAGGGGGCATGGCCAGATTGATGTCACTCATGTTGGGGGCGCCTGTGGTGGCCCAAGCGGTCTGCCAACAAAAATGGGCTCCAGAGCTCCGTTTTCAGCTACGACAGCCTCCTGCAATCCTCTGCCAATAAAAATGGAGCTCGGGAGTACTGCCCGCAGCCCTCCCAAGCTCCATTTTCACTGGCAAAGGTACTGAGGGCCTGTCCTTCGCTTTTTCCAGGGCAGCCCCATGGACCAGATCTAAGCACCCCACGGGCCGGATCTGACCCCCCAGGCCTTGAGTTTGACACCCCTGCTCTAACCCCAAACTGTCTTGTAACTGCTGTGAAATATTTGAAAGAAGTTGTGTAAGTCTTGTAGGAGATGAGCACATCTAAATCAGGTGACTGTTCTGCAATCTTTAGGAAGAGGAAGTAGTCCCACCTCGTCCTCCGCTCCCTCGGTCCTATGACTTTGCAGAGCAGCTTCCCATAATCCCCCCTCTGCCCAGTGATAGCAGCTCCTTGCTCTGTTATAGCAGGGGCCCCGTCCATCTGCCTGAAGAGAAGAAGATTCATCAAGTTCAAGGCTACCAAAGAAATGGAGCTCACTGTGTAAGTGGCCACCATTGCCACATCGTCCGCCCACCGAGCATCACGCGCCCTTCCCATCTCCTCCCCCGCACGGTTGCCGTTTTATTTGATTGACATCCCACTTATTTTATGTTGCTTTCCCTTACTCAGCTTCGTCTTTTTGTTTAATTTTTTTTTCAAGGACATTATTCATCTTTGCCATTTATGATTTTTGTTTTGGGATGGGGAAGGGGGTTTTCCTCCTCCCCCCCCCTCGACATTTTGTGAATATACATGTCTCCCCTTGACTCGGATTGGTTGCATGTCCATGTTAGGTTCAAACAAAATGTGACTTGTCATTTAACACGGTTAGAACAAGATTTTTTTGCTCTGTTCTATCGGGTATATAGGAAGTGTTGAAACATGCCATTTTTACCGGCATGTTTTTTTTTAAAATTATCATTTATTCAAAACCATTCATGCAGATTGTGTTTTCCAAAGTTAAAAAAATAAAATAAAATCATGACAGAAAACACCCTGCCAGAGGGAGTGTATGATTTACATTTGAACAGAGAAGAAATTGGAGACGGAACACAGTTTTAAAGACTTTTAAGGGATAAAGCAAGGAAAAGAAGAATGAAAAAGGACATTTTTTGGGAGGGGTGGGGCTCAAAAATGAAAAAGATAAAGATTTGTAGAAATTATTCCCTATGAAATTAGAACAATTTGACCTTTCCTGAACCGGAGCTTCAGATTTCGATACAAATTTTTGTCATAAGGATAGGAAATTATTTTGCAACTAGGTGCTAGTACATCAAACAAGGAAAACAAGAGCCGAGGTGGCGCAGTGGTTAGGGTGCAGTACTGCAGGCCACTTCAGCTGACTGTTATCTGCAGTTCAGCGGTTCTAATCTCACCGGC